CTGGAGATGTATGGTATCTGAAATGCCATTATGCATTCCCTCTTCTCTCTCCTATGTCACTGGTTTGAGGTTGCTGTTTGCTCCCCTAAGCAGGTGGTCAGTGCTGAAGTCTGCATTATTTGATTGTAATTAACATTCCCGTATTTCTCATAATTTGATATGTTCAACAAAGAGAATGACTCAAGAAATAAAATGTTGTTGACAACCATCTGTTGGTATGTTAGCAAGCATGATGACCAGAGTATTGATTTGAAAATGTTACCGTGTTTCTTAAGGAGGAAAAAAAAAGTAATCTTCTTTTTGCAATGACTGCAACAGATTCCAGTTCTCATTGGGTAGTACTTAATGATAATGTTGCTACCTCTGCTTTGCCATGCATTGGGATGTGCACAGGTTTGCAGTCTCAAGGCCACGTGTGCTAGTGATGGTAAGATTGCTGAAGCACTGATTTGCTGACTGGTGTTGCTCAGAGCAGTGTGTATGTTCCTACAAAACGGTGGGAAATGTGGTTGTATGTTATATTAGTGTGTGTAAGGCAGCCATTTCTGATGGTGTATAAGTTGCAACAAGACGCAAGCTTAAGAAGGTTTTTGCTTTTCTATTGTGAGCTGGAGCAAGGTTGGTAAGAAATGAGTATGTCTGTGATAGAGAAGGGGCTTGGGTCTAAGGAAAAAAAGAAATATATTTGGATTGTTCTTTTTTTCTGTGCCTTAAATTACATCTGCATTTGTTTTTATTCAGATAACCCCTAGTGAAAGCCACAGCTTGTTATATATGTTAAACTTTTTCTTCTTGTCATCTTTTTTCATTACTTGGCTAATTTGTGAAAAGCAAATGCGTTTAGCTTTCTGCCCTGTCAACTGGCTGCTCTCTAAAAATAAAATGAAGCAAAAAGCCAGAACTGCAGACTTCAGTGGCAAAACCACTAGAAGATAATGTTTTTCTGACCAGTGACTTTTCAGGGTTGTAGTATCTGCTGCTAGAAACTGTGACCTGGTTGATCAGCTAGGGAAAAGGAGTTAAGTTTTGAAAATGACAGGGGTGGGAAAAATTCCTTCCTTCCTCCTTTTAGAAAGGGTCATTTCAGAACAACAGATGCAATTTTGCAGAAGATCTTCCAGCCTCGACTTCTTTTCAGCAATGAAGGCTTTGCAGCAGCTTCTTGTATCTCACAGTAGAGTTTATGAGCAATACTTTAAGTTAGAGAGATACAAAACCCTCAAACACAATACCTGTATTAATACTGGTATTGTGTCCTCCCCTTGTTTATAGAGGGGCACATAAGCGCAGTGACCTTCTTATGATTTTTACATTGAGTTCAGCATCTGCTTTATAAGTTATAATATAGTGCCTTTAATAAGGAACAGAAGGCTGGGAATGGTGGGACTTTAAATGGAGTTCAGAGGAGAGATGAATCTGAGACGTCTTTTGGATTTTTAAGTTCAATGAAGCTTTAGGGATTTATTGGCTGAGGGTTTGGGTCTCTGTTCTGTGGTTATACCCACAGGACAGCTGGGACTTCTCCAAAAAATTCTACTTTGCATTGCATTTGCTTCCATAATGCTAATTATTGAGATTACAGTGTTTTCATTGGTGATTGATCTTTAGAGGTGACTTATGAGTTGTAGTTATTGAAGAAGCATGAAATACTGTAGATTTACCTTTAATAATGGGGTTTCCCAGATATTAGTATAATTATGGAAGGATTCTGTTATATTGCTATTGTCTGTTTCTTTATGGCTGAAATACTTGGAAAGGGAATGAATAACAGGAGAATTTAAAGAATTAATAGTTTTTGCTGGGCATGTTGCTCACAGCAAAAAGTGGACCAATGCATTTTCCTAATAAGGCTGCGCTGGAAGTTGGAATGTTTTGAATTGCATTAAATGTCACAAAAGTATTCATCAGAGAGGAATGGCTTGTGGTATGTTTAGAGAGCAAATTTGATCATGTTTGGTCGAAGTGAACTGTTTACACAAGTTAAATATAGCTTTTTTCTGAAAGAACAAAGGGCTTAGAGCAGCCTGTGCAAAAAATTCATGCACTTTGGTTTTCAATATTAGGCTGTCAGTAAGTGATGGCTGCTGCTTCTATTTTCATTGTCTGTAATAATTCATAAGAAGCTGTAACTGTTTGCCAAGGTCTTTTGTGTGAGTTGTTATAAATAATAAGCATTTCTACTGGGCTTTTATGTCTGCTTTGTATGTTACTGAAAATATTGCATAAACGAATATACTGACCTTCTAGTTTTAAATCATTCAGAAAATACCCTGCTTCGAACCATCCTGCTTTCCTACTTAGTAACAACGCAGGGCAAGTGTGTCATCTCATTTTGAAAGCCTTTATCGTCAGTTATTCATACATGCAACATGACCAAACCAGCAAGAATTCCTTATGTGTTTAATTGCTAGGTGGCACGTGAAGTGCTAACAGCTAAGAAAATGTACAAGATTCTGCAGTTTGATAACTTTTTTTGCTGTGCAATTTGGTAGTATCTATCAAAACCCTAAGGGAAGTAATTTCATAAATGTATGTGTTGGACGTGTTTTGCTTTTCAGCTTCAAGTGTGCATTTCCTTTTGTACTGTCTTGTCTAACCACCATGCATTTTTCACATTGAGATCTTTGTGGCTCAGTTTGCTGGGTGAGCGGATTTTTTATAAGATATGGGATAAATCACAGATTTTAGGCTGATTATGGTCTGAAGTCAACAAGGCCAAGTTAAACTGTTTGAAGTATGTCTGGGACACACAAATTTATGTCCTTGTTTCAAGTATGTTTGGAGGAAATAAAGTAAGGCTGTCTGACTCCCATGTTAAAAGGACATTAGGAACATTTCAGTTATCAAGCCTTTTTTTCCCCTGTTTTTTCTTTTTGTATGATATTTTTGAAGATGCATTTTGTAAGAGTATGCCTTGAGATCGTCTGGAAATAGTAGTTTGAAATAATTTTTGCTCAGTGCTGTATTGATGAATGCAGAGCAATCTCATCCATTGCAAACTCAGATTTGATTAGTTTGTAAAAACAAAAAAAATTTAAGTATGTTCCTTTTATGAGACTGAAACTTCAAGGTCCTGCATAGCAAAAAGTTTTTTTCCTCAAGCATGAAATATCGTAATTGACTTGAATAATGGATGTTTTTCTGCTTCTTGCTGGTAGATCAGCTTAATAAATAAGCAAAACACTCCAAATTACTTTATTTAATAAACATATACCTAAAATACAGAGTGAGATGCATGTTTTCTTCTAACTGTGGTCTTAAAAAAGAAAAATTTTGATATGTTTTGGGATTTTTTTTTCTTCTTGTTGCTTTTGTTGCTGCGAATTGACAACTCTGCAATTAGGAGTGATTAATGATGCACCCCAGCACTTTGGAGGGCCGGAGGTCAGCCTTCTCATAGGCTGCACACCCTGTGGGAAAGGGGCGAACGGGCCTGTTCCTCAGCGGACAAAACCCTCTCTCTGTTGAGAATTACTGTTGATGTGGACATAATGTGTGTCAGCAGCGATGCACAAATAATGAAGATGAAGTGCAGAAGATGATCTTCTCATGCAATGCTTTTTTCTTTTTTTTTTTTTTTTTTCTTCCATGCCAACATTGCACATGGATTATATGTATCTCTCTTTTTGTAAGTTAGCTTCTGAACCCGATTGCTGCTCTGGAATCTGATAAGCCCTGGGGGCCAAATGATTTTGAGGGAAGGAGTAAACATTTTGAATGTAATTAGTAAAAAGAAAAAAAGAAGAAAAGGCAGGAAAAAAAGATGAAAAAAAGGAAAATAAAGAAAAAGGAGTTGTTAAATGGACCGTGTATGCCTAATTCAAGTCTAGCTCTCCGTGTTTTCCTGGTAGAAATAGAAAAACTGGTATATACAATAGAGGTGTTTTAAATTGTAGCCTCTGTTAGCTGATTTCCAAATAAATGAACCTTTTTGCCTCCCCAGCAAATTATCTTTTGGAAATGATAATCCAGCCTCAGCTTTTCAAAATCGTATTTAGAAGAGTCGTCGGAAATGGGGGTTGAGTGATTTCTGGATGCACATGATTGCTAGTTCTTGGATCATTAAGGGTACCAGCTTTTCTGAGCAGCTACCAAATATGGCCAGAAACATTCTGAAATGTGGAAAGAAGCCACTTTTCTACCGGAACAGCACAGAAAGACTCCAGTCTATCAGCAGCAAGGTTTGCAGGCAATGTTAGTGTGTCAGGTTTTTTTGCTGTGTTTTTTATTTTCTAAATTTTGCATGTGTGTATTTTTTTGCATATAGATATATGCAAATATGAAAAAAAAAAGTCAAGTGAGATGCCTTTACCTATAACATGTTGCCACTTCACTTTAGGTATGACAAAATCTGTCAATTCTTAATCTTTGTAATCCTTTCCATTGTGATACTTCCTTTCCTTCACACCACCCCATAGTAGTTTCAATGCACCCATTGTTTGGGAGAAATTTTTTTGCCATCTACTGTAGAATTCAAGTGACATTAACCTTACCTTTGAAGACCAAAGACTGTGCAAGAAGTTTCTGTGTTATTTAACTTGATAAGTCCTTCAGAAGGATTCTTCTTGTTGTTGTTCTAAAATGAAGCTTTCTGTTTTAAGCCTGAATAAAGGTTATGCACTATTTAAAATGCAACTTATCTGACCAGGGTTTGAGTTACATGACATAGTTTTTTATGAAAGGATGAAAAACGATAAGAAAATTGAAGCTCAAGTCTCCTAACTGATGGTATGTTATTATGAATTTATAAATCAAAAAGTACTTGATGATAGATGCTGGAGTTCCTTACGTTGTGTCAAACTCATCCAGTTTGGTTTTGCCTTTTCCTTGTGTTAACAACAATGTTGTAGGTTTAACTTAAATATTTCTTGTTTCCTTGAGAGGAAAGAAAAAGAATATTTTATATATCTGTGGGTGGACACGATGAGTTGGAAGAGGGAAATGTTTAAACATTTAAGAACTTGATTTTTACAGTTATGTGTATGTTTTTCCTCTTCTAGAGTGGCTTCTGTAACAAAACCCGATCTTATTCATGTACCAAAGGTATGTTCATCATCATCACAACCAAGCATGTGGCACTCACTGTTACCCATCTGTCAAACCCTGTTGTTAAGCACTGTCATTCAAACTTTCCTTTCAATATAACATGCTTGATTTCCATGTTTTACATTGAGTATTGCAGCAGTTGAATCTTTGAGTGATTCCCTCCCGCCTCCCCCCTCCAAAAGAAAAAAAAAAAGAATTGCGAGACCTGGAAAATGATTATCCACCTCCCCCCCAAAAAAGTGAATAAATGTTATCTTCCAAGTCTTGGAACATGTTTTTAGAAAGATATTGTGAAATTTTTCCCCCGTCCCTAGGAGAGAAACAGAAGTAAGGGTTTGTTTGTTTGGTTTTTAATGGGCACTGAAGTCTTCCTTTGTTTTTGAAAGAGGCTTATCTAAATATGAGAGTTTCAGAGAACAATTACCCTCACTTTACTTAATGCCCTAGAGAATTACTTGTTCTCGAGTTCTTCTAATATTTTGTTCTCAAACAATAATTTCAAACTCCCTCTATTTGATAAGAAGGCTGCTTGCAAACCTGAAAATGCTTACAAATGGCCTGTACTTGAAAAATCCTCTCCAGTGGACATAAATAACGTATATTACTGTTCTGTTGACTGTGATTTGAAAGGCCACAATTTGGGAGCCACCATGTTAAAAGCTCCCAGAAAAAAAAAAATAAATTTTTTTTGAGTGTTTTGATCTGACAAAGGTATATGGAGATGGAGCACATCAATTGAGTGCAACTGGGAAAGCTCACTGAGTCCCAAAGCGCTGGCCTCAGATAAATGAGCTTTGGGGCTCTGGTTCTGCCCTTAAGGGCCATATCAACAGATCAATATATACAGTGTGTGTGTACGCATACACATGCTGTTTTTGTATGGGGAATGTGCATATCTTGAATTGGTTTGAGGGGTGGAATGTGGAATTTTATAAAAAAAAAAAAAATAGGGTTTTTTTCCACATGAGTTACCTGGTGGGTTTTGCAATAGTGGTTCATCAGTTTCCCTTAAATGTGGTTTGTGGGGTGTCTGTTTTGGATATGGTGAGAGGAGTTAGCATTGTGGGATTTCATGTTGATTGTGCATGCTTGGATCGTTTCCTTTCCTAAAATGCATGGCTTGGTTTTTTTCCATACATTTCATGGCTGCAGTCTGCGTAAAGCTTGCTTCTGTGCTTCTTCATTTCACGCTAGGTGGGTTATCTCCCTTGAGAGCAGTGCAAATCCCTGCTGAGGAATGTGCATGTGTTTGGCGTGGTTTTGTGTGTTTCTTTTTTTGTTTTTCATCTCGCATAGGGAGAACCTACAGAAGTAGTTAAGCCTGTGCCCATTACCTCTGCTGTTGCACCCAAAGTCACTGCCACGGCGAGCGTGGCTTACAATAAGACACCGAGGCCGTTTGGAGCCGTAACCTCCTCCAAAGTCACCTCCATCCCATCACCGTCCTCCGCCTTCACCCCGGCCCAGGCAGTAGCTCCGTCCCCGGCAGCTGCCACCCCGTTTGCTGCACCCGGACTGCATGTTAACGCCAAGCCTAATGCTGAGCAGCGGCCGCCTGTGCCGAGCGCTGCTAAACCTGCAGTTAATGTCCCACGGCAGCCCGCCACGCACAATGCCGCCCCGAGCGCCTCTGCCGGCGACGGCGCCCAGGATGTAGCCGAGGGGCCACGACGAGGATTCAGAGAGAACCAGGGGGAAAGTAAACAGCAAAATGGGTAGGTGGGATTTTTTTTTTTGCTGTGAGGGTCTTTCCTCACAGGAAAAAAGCTGGGCTTGTTTAAGGGCTGAGTAAAACACAGCTTGGAGGAGTTGTTTAATCCTCAAACGAGACTCTCTGAGGAAGGACTTGCAATCTTAAAAGGGGTGCTTCGAAGTGTCAAGCCAGACTTTTGGTGATGATTTTTCTCAGGAGTGATCTATCAGTTTATAGAGTGTCACAGCTAAATCGAATTAGGATCACAAAATCTACACGGTGGGTTGTATCACGATCTGTTCTGGACCTTACAACAAGCCCAGTGTTAATTTCGGTGTCCATGTCTCACTGTGTATTTTGACTCCTGATGCAGTGACTGAAAGCAGCAGGCATTCAGAAATGCAGAGTGCTCTGTCAAGAATGGTCAGTGGGTGCTGAGGTGGCCGGGAATGAGATGCTCTGAAACTGTGGCCCCAGCAGGATCGGTGGAGAAAGGTCCCAGAAGGGGGGCAAAGGGACAGATGTTGCATTACTACTCTGCGCAGCACACAAGAAACTTTAAGATGCATTCAAGGAAGCTGGTGGGGTTGAGCAGATTTTTTGCAGCATCAAAATGTAAATACCTCAACTTAAACTGTTACCTTTACCCTAAAAAAACACAACACAGATATAAAATTTGAGTAACTTTCATAATCAGATAACTGTGGGTTTTTTTAAAGTGGGTATCAAAGACCTGACATTTAAGGGACTGTAAGGCTGCATAAAAGGCTTATACTGTATCTGGTGTAGCACCTGAACTAGTAAACAATAGATTAATGAACAGAGCCCAGCAGCAATCCTGGGCACTCAGACCTGCACTGCTGCCCTGTTTCAGTGGCACGCTTTTGTCTGGGGCCACCTTGAACTCTCCCAGAAATTTCTGACAGGTCTTGGGAGCTGCAGTACCCCAGGGACTGGTTCCCAGTGACTGCTGTGCCATGGGGAGAGGAGGCTGGTGTGAGCAGTCCCATGTTAGTTGGCCTCTGTGCCCAGCAGTGTCTGGTGCATTGAATTAAGTAATAAAAAGTGCAGGAGCGGAACTGTAGATTTCTTTTCTGTCTTAAGAATGTAAAACCCGTGCTTAAAAACTAAAAGCTGTGGTTACTGTTTCCTGTCCCTCAAAGGAAAGGGTCTGGAGGAATAGCCTAGTTGCCTCTCTCCTCTGATATTCTCTCAGTATATAAAGTATGTGAAGAACCTACAGAAAGGTAAACATCCATGTCAACTAAAATACAGAATAAATTGCGGTTTCAGTTGAACTTCTCGTGGTGGATAAAAACTTCTTTAGGTACCTATTCCCTTTATATTGCAGTACGAATATTTTCCACATGTGGACTCACATAATGCAGTCTGTATGCATTTTATATCACACCACTGTCATGGTAACTTCCAGCCCTTTCTTAAACAGCTGATGGCAGGAGTCCATGCCGTGTAGAAGTGGGATGAAATCGGGAGATCCTAAGGACTTGCTTGATGCTGGTAGACTTGTTGAATACGCTTTGACAAACCGTCTCTTCTCAGGAATGCTGTTTTAACAAATAACTGTGTAAGGAGTATTCAAAAGCAGCAGTTAGTACTGAAAAAGAGGAAGAATAGCAATGAAATTAAGTCTCCTGGAAGGAAGTGCTGTAGGAGTAGAGTAACCAGTTGACAGTCAAGGTAGGATGACTGGGTGAGCACTGTTATGTGCCCTGCCTTAGGGTTAGGGGATGAATAATATTGACTGAAGGGTATTACAGCTGACAGGTGGAGAAGTCCCTGTCTCACTGCCAACGTTGCACATCTAGTTGGGAAAGCTTGAAAACATTTAGAGCTATAAAACCCTACTATATTTTGCCATCTTTCTTACAGTACTGTGTTTGGGCTGTCTAATTGTCTTGCAGTCCTAAGGCATAAAACAAAAACAAGCAAACAACCCCCCCTAAAGTGATTATATTGGTCTGCTGTTACATTACTTACTTAGTTTTACTTAGAAAAATTGTATTTCTACAATGATGCTTAACTATCTCCCCATTTAAAATGGAATCAATGACATTTATGAAATAGCAGAAGCGCTGAAGTATGGAAAAACTGATCAGTCTGAAATAAACTCCATTTCACTTTGGTAGTTTGTATTACTCATTTTCTGGGGGGAAAAAAAAAGGCAACTTGTATGTTATTTGTAGATAGCACTGCTGAGCAAATACAGATCTTCAGACATGCACCTTGTCGTACTCAGAATTTCCTCTCTTCCTCCTGGCTCGCCTTAAACCACATTCAGGATACAAGCTATTTGCTTTTACTTCAGGATGGGGAAGGAAGTTTTGTTTCCCTTGTTTAGTCCCGGCTTAGAAAAAGCAATTTGCCTTCACTATGCTGTGTGCAATTATGTTTTTATTAAGACCTTCTTGCCAACTCTTGCATGAAAAATTGCCTGCTGCTTAAAACAGGTAAGATGTCCGCAGACTTCACTCAGTTTAAGCTCAGCTGGGCTAAAATTTTCCCTTGTAGGTTCTCTTGATGATTGTAAGTTTGACTTCTGTGATATACGGCTTTGCCAGAGCTTGGATTTGGAAACCCCTGTAGTATTTCAAGAAGCAGAGAATGTATTAACACACCAAATACTTTTTTTTTTTTTTTCCCTTGCAGATAACAACAGTGACAAAGTTAGTATCAACAGCACTGGAGTTGAATTATGGTCGTTTTTCCTGTTGGAATAACCAGCATGTATTCTTGTTTTGCAAAATTATAACTCTTACAGAGTTTTATATTTAAATTTTGCAAAACAGCTTCAGCTTTTCTTAGTAACTTCTTAGTGTAGTAAATGGTTTTGTCTGCATTGGACATGTTGTGATCTTGGTTTTCACTGTGTTACATTTTGCAGCTTTTTTTTTTTATTATTCCACAAAACATTTGTGTGGTGTTTGTGTGTATTGATAAATTCTTGGTGCACCTATGGCTAATTGGTGTTGGTAATATAACTAGTAAATGGTGAAATACAGTATAAAAGATTTGAGGACTATGGAATGAAGGACTGGATACTGAATTCATACAGCAAAAATAAGAGTAACATCCATGTACTGTGTTTTGTGTGTATTAGGGATGATAAATGTGATTGAGGTTTTACTGGCTTGTCTTTTCTCCCTTTGCCTCAAGGCTAAAGGAGAGTCTGTCTCATTGAATTTTCCTTTGTCTCTGGCACCACCTTGTTGCCTCAGTGAGTCATTGCTAGTAGACTCTTAAGCCTTAAAAAAGGATCCAGTAGTGTCCACAAGAGAAAGTGGGTTATTTTTATTATAATACCACTTTCAACAAATGTGAAAGACTACTTATTTCACTGTGGTAGTTGCTAGAATGCAGTCGACTGCATGTAAATAATTACATTTCCATGTAGTTCCACACTTAGTTACTGCTTTAATTTTCAGTTTTTATTTTTGTTATTAACTGTTTTGGTGCTTTATTTAATTTTCCTCTGTACTTCTTGTACTCCATCCTGGAAATACCACTATCTTTGTTTCTATACCTCTCCCTCTTTTAGTAACTTTGATACGTGGTACATATAATTCACTAATACTATGTGTCAATAAATTCAGTCTTTTGATATAATTTTGTATGATACCTTTCACATCATTCTTTCAAGTATTTCTTTTAAGCTTGAGTATTTACTAATGCATTCCATTGAATGGGCCTAATTCTTACTTGTTGACAACTAATAATTTACGTTATTCTATTCCATATTATCTACCTTTCTTCACCAGAAATACTTTGGAAATTAAAAGTACAGTGGGAAAGTAGTGACAAAAATAAGAATGAATTTTAAAGTTTTGTTGTTGTTATTAGGTTTGTCATGTCTTAGGAGCCAGTTTTGCACAGTTAATCTCCTTAAATTATGTAAAAATAACCACGCATTTAAAGAATTTTAAAGATTAATGCTTTGGGATAACAAAGGTAGAATTTGGGGGTAAGATATATAGTATGAATCATTGTTCCCTTTTCCTAAATTGGTCGGTGCCATTACATGTTCTTTACATCAGTTACTGAAAGCAAAGCTTTAAAATCCTGTATTCTCGCAAGTCTGCTGGTGCAGGGATTGATAATAGCGTGTAGGTTACTGTGGGTAAAATTTCCAGATGAAGCAATCACCCCTAACTTTTTTGACTTTCAGAGAAGGTATCGAACATCAGTTTCTCCCCGTTATGCTCCTGAACATCGCCACCTATGCTTTCAAATGGCCTAGTTCTTACCTAGGCTTAGCCAAGTACAAAAGACTTGGCATGTACTTGCTAGCCCTTGCATACAGCTAGTGTTTTACCTCTTGTGAACCAAGGGGAGAATTTGTCAAGGGGCACCTGATTCGAACTAAGTAGGTGACCCTGCTTTACCAAAACAAATTCCCTGTGAGGAGATCGCTGTGAATTTAGTCAAGTGTGGGAGTTCTGTGCTGCAGTTTTGGAAGTAGAATGCAAGTATCACTATTAGTTGGATTTCAGTGCCCTTTCCCACAAAACTAGTTCAATAGAATAATTACCTGCACTTCTGTTTTAACTTTCTGACTTTGTTTCTTGTTTTCTTTTTCTCCTTTTCCTGTTTATGCTGGGAAAACTTTCTCTTGCTGTCTTACTCTGTCATCTCCAAGGAAAAACCCACCTAAACGGTAAAGGTTTGAACGTGTAAATGTCTTGATAATACTGTCTTCTACTGTTTCAAATGTTCCAGCAGTGAAACAAGGGAAAATATTTCAGTCAGGTTAGAGTAATTATAAAGATGTGTTTGGTTCAGGGAACAGAATCTTTGTTCAGGTGTGCCTGTAGAGCTCACAGCTTCACATCTACATCCAAACTCAGAAGCTGGCTTTAAACGCTGTGAAAAGTCGCAGTTCTGACCGTGTCTTTGTAGCTATGCCAACCCAGGTGGTCTCTGAAGCTTTTCACTCACTTCTCTCTCCTTTCCTTGATGCAGCCCCCCGCGGAAGCACATTGTGGATACTTATACGGAATTTTACCACACACCCACCCACAGTGATGCCAGTAAGAAGCGACTGATTGAAGACACCGAAGACTGGCACCCTCGGACAGGCACCACCCAGTCCCGCTCTTTCCGCATCCTTGCCCAAATCACTGGCACTGATCATAGTAAGTAGTTTGGTGTAAACAAAATAAAAGTAATAGCCTTGGACAAACACATGTTTTTAAAAGCTGAAGGTGGAGGGAAATAGTAAAAGGATTCAGTTACATTTCTTGCATTTTCCCTCTTGGATATTAAATCCAGTAGGCAGAATTTTGGTGATCTCTCTAAAAGAAAAAAGTTTGAGAAGACTATAGTAGGAAAATATTTTTGTAGAAACACCTGCAATTGCCAAATAGCTCAGGACATACATGTACTGGACATGGTTCCTGATTGAGTTGAATATTAATACATTCTAGATAAATCTCAAAAATTCCATTTCTACTCCCAAAGGTGTTGGCAGATGTGTATTTGTTGTTTCTTTCCCCTCCTGTATCACCAAAAAGGCAACATTCTTGTTCAAATTTAGTGCTCCAGAAAAATTAAGGTGTTTTCAGGCATGTAGAAAATCTTTGACAGTCATACAAAGGTACGTGATCTGCAGTGATGTCACTAGTCAGGGGCAAAAATCTATAGTTGCTCAGTTTATTCCCAGGTCATGTTTCCATCCTCTGCTTATGCCATGTTGTGATTACATGTACTGTGGACTGAAACAGATGTTGCAGAAAAGGTCTTTCCCTGTCATATAATTTTATGGTAAAACTTGAATTTCATGTTATGCTGTCAATTATAATTAATTGGCTAAGATCTGATGGCTTTTACATAACATTACAGAAGTGCCATCAGGAAATTTGAGCTCCTTCATGTTCAGACTGAGGCAGCTACTGTAGAGGTGATTATTTCATTCTTCTGCTTTTCACAGGTAGTGCTATCATAAAGAAGGCAGTGAGGAAATCGGACCCCCTCCCCAGGGGCAGATTTGATTAAATGAACTATCGATTCTTTGGCAGAATTACTCTGGAAGACTTTGATGACATCTCCCCAAATAAGGATTATTGTCCATGTGTGATAAATATTCTGAATTTGGACAATTACTTGACTGTTTTGTGGTCCTGCGTTGTGTTAGTCTATTAATGGGTCACTGTCTATATTTGAATTTTCTTCATTAAAGCAGAATAGGAGATGTGGATGTCGAATAACATGTCATCCGGTACTGATGAATTAATCATGTTGACAAATACTATGATGAAGTGACTGCAACTAGAATTGCCAAACTTAAAGTTAGGGCTGGGAATTTACATTATCCCATGTGCAGTCCTCTAGTACCTTGATGGGTCACAGCCTGGCTAGAAACAGACGCTTGGATTATCACCTGATACAAACTCAGTGGATGTTCATCCAAAAGAAATCCTCCCAGCTTCCATTCATCTTCCCCTTCTCAACTCACCTTTCTCAATGCCAACGTGGAGAGTCGGCCAACGGAAAGAACAGAGACCGGCAGAGCCAACTTTCAGCAATCCTACTGGCAAAGGGGCTCTTGAAGTTTATACACATACCTGATTTCCACTGGGGCATATTTAGAATTGAGGAATCCTCACGAGCCTTGTTGTAATTTGTTGCTGTGGTGAATGCATTGGTACAGAGGAGAATCTCAGCGTAAGGTGGTACTGTGCCTTTAGTGCCTTAGAAAATAAAAATTTTCTGTTTTCTTGCAGTGAAAGCATCAGAGCATGAAGCTGCAAAGAAGACTAAGTGAGTTTTATGTTTTTATTACTTAAATACTTCGCATGTCTTAATTCTTCACTGATAGTGTTTGGTGCATTCGTGTGACATCTGGGTGTTTTTAAAATGTTGCTTCTTTTTTTTTTTGCCTTCTACTTCAGCATGTGAAAATCAAGATCTTTTTCTGTGTAGACCAACCTTTCTAAATCTGTTGGTGCAGTCCAGTATTAATATTTGTGCAGGAGTTTGAGATTTTCCATAAACTTGGACTGATTTGGTTTAATGTACGAGGTCAGCTTGTCAACATGTCTTCCTTTCCCTAAATCTAACCAGGCATTTTTGATTTGCGAGTGTGGATCAGATTGCAAGGCGTAGCTGGGAAGCATTACCTTTCTGGACTCTGAACAAGGGTCAGCTGTCTCCTTGCTTTGGAATAAGCATTGTTCCAAATGAGGAAAACCAGTGGCTAAACCTAATGGTTCTTGCAATCAGTGGAGTTTGTCTACTGACTTTGCCTGACATCGGATCCACATTTTTGACAGAGGAAGGCAATGTGCGGATAGAAACAGTGCATGGAGATTGCATGCTCTCTTGTGAAACTGCTTAAGACAAATTCTTTCTTTCTTTCCTTCTTTCTTTCTTTCTTATTTTTCTTCTATCACTTCTTTCCACAGGGAAAAGGTTCCCATCCACGTCTTTAGCCCCAAATATACAAAATTACGTGACTGGCACCATGAAGTCTCAGCACGTGCTCTTAATGTCCAGTGATTTTTACCCAAGTTGCAAAAGCAAAATACAAAAAATACAAACACTTCCTTCCTTTCTTCTTTTCCATCTGCTCTGCAAAAAAAAAAAAAAAAAAAAAAAAAAATCTGCGGCCTTACTGCGAAAGATAGTCTACCCTTTTCTATACTTTTCTAACACTTTCCTACTGATGTATAAAAAGTGAGATGAAAATGTTTTTGTGCTAATCACTAGTTGACAAAAAAAAAGTATTTAAAACAGAACAACTTGAGTGACTGAATCTCCCAGCGTCAGGGAGGAGATGGCTGTTGCAGTTCTTTTTTTGCCTTAAGAGTCATTTACATTGCTGAGTTTGAGTTACTGTAGGCTGTTAGAAAGCAGAAATTTTATGGACAGAAGAATAAGAAATTGTATTATTTTGATTTTGAGGCTGAGGAAAGAAGACAAAGAGGGACTGTATGCACTTACTATGAAGTACTATACTTACCAGGATCATTATCTTGAATTTCACTAAATTTTCAGCAGGTCAATTTTAAGGTGGTTGTATATGTTTTACAAAGTAGAGCAAGAAGACAGACTGCTTTTAAGCAAATAAAAAATAATTTAAAAAAAAATTCTGATGTGAATCAAAGTGCAAGCTCAGTATAAAGATTCTGCTGCTTAAACTAGTAATATGTTCATATTGTGGAAAACTTAGGAAAAAATTGAGCAGAACATTGCTGTGTACCTGTAAGAGCTTCATCACATCCTCTGACAAGAACAGGATAAGACGGTGGTATTTATTTATTACAGAGTGAAGTTCTTAAGCTTTCTTGTGTTTATAAAAGCTTCATGGCCCTATGGTTCTCCTGTAAAATAATGTATTATAGTAGCTACATACTCATTAATTTATGCTTTCTGAAGCTTGAAGAGTATTTTAATAAAAGTTGCTTTTATCTTAGTTCTGTCTGTTTTTCTTTTGAGTCTCTCCGACTCCTTGAATAGTCTTTTCATGCATGGAGCTGTAATTTCACTGCACCTTTAGAGATTGTAGTAAGAGAAACAATTAAATCCCTGCAGCATACTAGAAACAATGTGAGTTGTACAAAATTACCACAGTAGTAGAGTTCCTGATCATGTTAAAAACCGGGTATGTGTTTGTGTTGTCGAAATTGACATGAGATTTGCAGAAATCAATAAAATGATTGACCTTTTGGGGGGCTACAGGAGGAAGAATTCTGCTAAGTAAAACTTGCTTTTGGCTTTTGCAACACTTATTGAATCAGAGACATTTCAAACCTCAAAGGTGAATTGTAAAGCACACATTAAAAGCCCAGTCTTTCATAATTGCTTAATGAGAACCATTGCTATTGGCTTGTAGTTTGTGCAGCTGACCTACACACTTTTCTGATGGAACTGGTCCAGTGAACAGATTGATATGCACTGCAAATACTTCTGCAGACTTGGGGGTTTGGGTTTTTTTAATGCACGACTTGGAAAATGAAAAGGAATAGGGACCTTCAGAAGCATTTTAAGCTTGTGTTTCCTTTTCAGATGGTTTATACTGTTATACAGTACAGCAGTAGCTTATGGTATTTGTCATTTTATCTTTAGGAAAAGCCAAAGAGAAAATGGAGACTTCAGGTAATAGCCAAGTTATCTAACACTAACAGTCACCGATGTGGATGCCTAACAATGCACACCATAAAGTACAACCCGATTTGCACTGGTAATGATGGACCAAGGCATATCACATCTTACACACATTTTGGGTTAACTCCTTAGAGACAGTAGGGGAAAATATTCACTTTAATAGTTTCACTAAAGAGCGTTTTGATGAGAAGTGCCAATCAGTTTCATTCCCCCCACGTTGCATAACTCGGTAGTGAGTACTGTGTTACTAAACCCAAGTGTGTTGCTGAGTGCACATATGACACAACATAATAATTTGATAGAATACTGTGTAATAAAGTGGGAATGTGAAGTAGGGTATGGAAATTGTTTTGCTGGGTATAAAGAATTTTTTATGAATGGAAAGGAAGATGGGAGTTTCAGAGGGCATCAATGCAGTGAAAACTGTGAGAGGTTATCACTTAGACTCTCTGTAAAGTTTTCTTCATAAGGGAAGAATGGTTTGACCTTCAAGTATTTTTATGTTTTGGAGATGTCCCTAGGTAGTGAGAACATCTTCGTGTTGGTATTTAACTTACCATTATGGTTATCTACCTTACCAGCCCTTATCCCTTTGAAGAATGAGTTGCTTTAGCATGAAATGGAAGAAAAAGCTTCTCTAATCCAAAGTATAAAAGCTTATATTTTGATTAAAATTAAACATAAATAGTCATAGAGTCTATTGAGCATATGAGAATAGTTTGAGAAAGGCTACCAAAATTACTAGTTTCCTATAAGTTCACAATAACCAATCACTACTTTCAAAAATGTTTTATGAATGTGTGAAATGAATTTCACTTACTGCTTTAAAGATGTCCTCTCTTCGTCCAGTATCCCCATTGCGTGACACTTGTTGATGTTAAATTTTGGACTTTGTTACTATTTCCAAAACAATGGATTACTTTGCCATTTGCATGTGGATAACATGGCCTAGCTCATGTCCAATTCCCAGCATACATGTGATCTTCGGAAAAATATTCTGACTGGGTTTTGCTATAAAGGAATAAGCTTACATTTAAGAGATCACCTAGAAGGATGAATCTGACAAGCAATGAAATAGAAACTTCTCTTCCATCAGTAATCCACAGATAAATACCCCAATTCAATAATATTCAACTTTTCAGGCAGACATTGTCCAAGACAAATGCCCTGTGGATTTTTTATTATTGTTTATCCCTAAACTATAACCCACTAGGTATTTTTGTTGGATAAACAACAGCAGGTGGAAGGACAGGAAATACGAATAGAAAGCCCTCACTGGAATGTGTAAATTGTAACTCTTAAACCAGTTACTTAAAGCTTAGAAAGGGAAAGTCTACTCTTTATGTAAAGTTTATATGTTTTAGTAACTGATTAGTTACTAAACCGAAAAAGTACAGATTTGGTTTTGGCCTTGAGTTGCAGAATCAGTTCATTGTCCAGAGTGAAGATGTATCTGGATTTTCCAGATTTGTAGTTTAGCTGATCTATAGCCACTGGAAAACACTTGTCCCATTCTTGGTCAGTCCTGAAACACCCAGTCATAAATTGTGTATTTATTTTTTTCCCTCCCGTGTGATAAATATCTGTAAAGCATACCTGCAGATCTGCCTAATGAAGCACGAGCCCAGGATACCAGCATTAATCTGAGCAAAAACTCCATAGCTACCCAGACTTTGGAGATGCCACCTGTGCCAGAACTTCCATCCACACCTTTACAACCTATGAGGTCTGCTCCCAGGTCATTACTAAGTCTGCTCAATAATTAGCAGCACTTAAGGCTCCCTACTTTCTTAAGATACTTCTTAATTCTGCATGCTACTATTTAAAAAAAAAAAAAAGGCAATGCCTACTGCTGTGGCTAATTTAGTCTGCTCAAAACTGGTGGTTGTGATTGCTCTCTACCTTGTAGTTTACTTTTCTTTTTGTGTATTACATGTTTGATGAGTGCTTTTCTTCATGTAGAGGGCTTTAAGACAACATTTTCTTTTTCCTACTGCAACTGAAAAAAAAATGGATATGAGAAAATACTGAGTAATATATAGTGTAACCTTCAGAAAACTAACACCCTAAAAAAGTTGGAGCAAAAAGTGTATAACTCTTCGGGAGTGAATCTCACTAGCACTTGTGTCTGTGTCTTTTCCAGTATTTCCTAAAAGTTTTCCATCTCACCATGTAATGCTAAATATGTGTTCCATCTTTATAAGTACAGAATATTACTTGGCTTTCTGAGTTTATAAGCAGCTGGACACTTCTCAACCTTCACTAAGGGAGTGACACTTCCTAAGTATATTGTGCCTCGTTTTATCCCCCTGTTTGTATTTGTATTTTAGTGTAAACTCCGTGTTTGGTTTTTTTTTTCCCCGATTTACTAACACTTTCATGCACAGTATTTCCTGTTCAGCATATTATTTCAATGTGGATTAAATCTTTCCCTGTGTATCTCCATTTGGTTTGATTACTGTGAATGGAGTGAAAACGGTGCTAGACCAGGACCTGCCACAGCTCTCTTGCCAGTAGGAGAGTCCTCTCCTGGCAGCATCCCCTCTCTCAGACATTCTGAACCCATTGCTGCCACAGCAGCTCCTGGGAGGTAAATCATTCAGATTGTTTTGATTCAGTTAATGATCTTATCTGTATGTTGTTCTATTCTAGAT